ATCACCATCAATTATGTAATCTGTTAGTAAAATTATTTATATTATTAATTATAAATTTAAAATTTAATTCTTAATCTCTACGTAAAAAAAAATAAAGAGTAAAAAATTTATGTAATTTTTTTTAAAACCTCATCACAAATCCTCTTGCATTCATAAATTTTTACTTCTTTAAGAATAATGAATGAATCAAGTTTATTGCAGTCATACTAGGCGTCATACTACGCAAACTCGATAAGAAACTATCACGCAAACCGGAACTACCCTGCATATTACGCATGGCGGCCGAACTATTACGCATGCCGATTGGATTGCCATTATTGTTACTTGGTAAGCCATAACTTCGACTAATTAGACTTTTTTTTTTTATCTGCTTTTGCTATGTCTTGGTAATTATTTGTAAACATAGTGCTCTCTTATCACCAAAGCAAATATGTAATCTACGCGAGTAGAGGTAGTAAATAAATAGAAAAAAGTTATATTTTATTACGTAATTTAAAATAAAAATAAAAAGGCAAAACCATAAGTTAAGCCCCTGAACTAACCCCAGAATCGCTATTAAGCCCCTAAACTTTAATTGGTGCAGTTAAACCCTTGAACTCTGGGATCAAAGCAAGTAAGCCCTTCTTCTTACACCAACTTAACTGCCGTTTGGGATTGCTCGCCTGACTTAACTGCCATTGAGGAGACAGTCCAAGGTTTTTAAAACCGGATCGGTCATTGAACCGTTTTTGGGTCCGGTTTTTGGTTTGACCGATTCAACCAGTTAAACCAGTGAACCAACCGGTTCAAATAACAAGGGAAATTTGATGAGAGGGATAGGTAATTTTGTAATTTCATTAAAATTAAGGGTTAAAATCGGTATAAGAAAGGAATGGTGAGGGTAAAATTGAAAAAAATAAAAAAAAAATTGCATGAGAAATTGAACCGGTAGTTTTTTTGGTTTTATCGGTTCCACCTGTTTCACCGGTTTTGAATGATTTTGACCAGTTTTAAACGATTTTTAACCGGTTTTGACCTTAAACGGTTTTTTATGTGAACCGAGCCATTTTCATTATCGGTACCGATCCGACCGATTCAACCGGCCGATCCGGTCCGGTTTTAAAAACCTTGGGAGACACCCCGCCTGGCTGCTTGGATGGCAAAATATTGCCATGTCATGCTTACATGGCAAGGGATTTAACATTTGACCTGGATTTTTGATTTATTTGATAATTTAATTTTTTTATTTAAATAAAATATAAATAAAATAAAATCATAAATTTGGGTGAAAATATTATTTAT